TCTGAAGTGGAAACTGTGGAAAAAAAACCCAACATGTTTGAGGGAAAATGAAAAACTTGAAATTTAGTAGGGCTTTCTAAACATCATGTTTTTGTGAAATAAGTAAAAGCAGTATGTAGTTGTGTTCTATTCCAGCTTAAATTTATGCAAAAAAAATAAGCAGGTGCAATTGATACTTAATACTAAATAAAAATATTTTCTGGATCTTACTGTCTCTTGTTGAATAAAGCAATTTGGCACTTCTACATCTTGAACAATAATATGAATGTACACAATGTAGAAGTTCAAGGGACAAGGTGTTTTCAGTATCCCAGGAAAACTGTTTAAAACAAGCATGAGAATACTGAAAGCTGCTTCCTGAGTTATTACACCAAACATTTTATGTCAAAGCATAAAATCTTTTCATTGTAGTACTAGGGAGATGTATGTTTAGCTGTGATATTGAGAGGGATGTATGAAACCCCAGTTATAAAAGGAAGGTTTTTTTCTGTTGTCTTTTATAGGTTAAAAGAGTTCTTGAAAAATTATATGAGAACAAGAAAATTGCAAGTGCTACCCACAACATATATGCATACAGGTGAGAAACAAATCGTGATTTTTATTCTTTTTTAGTGTTTTTATAGTGTTCTTTACAAATGAGTGCAGGACATGAGAAAGAAATTCCTTTCTATTAAATTCCTTGCTATTAAAAGGAATTCCTTGCTTTAGGGAGTAGGTTTCTTATTTGTATGGTTGGTGTTGCAGGTGTTATTTTGAATTTGAGGTCAAGCAAGTAGAACATACAGTAGGAAATAAGATTGTGAAGCAGCATTAGGAATAGAAAAAAAATGGATTTGAACATATGTTGGTATACTTTTGTAGTATGTCTGAGCATGGAAATGCTACATCATCCTGAACTAAATGTGTTTTTATTTGGGTAAAATAACTCCTTTTTCCCACCCAACCTTATATTTAGAAATAGCTGAAAATGTTCAGTTGAAATAAGAGTTGAATCAGAAAGCCTGATGCAGACATCTGGCACATGAAGTTTCAGCTGAAATACAAGAAACTTCAGGGATTATGAGAAACAGGTAAAAATGAGTTTGGCAGTCATCTGCCACTGGCAACTTTGGTGGATATAGCTTATGTGAAATGAACTGGTCTCAGTCCAGATAGCAGTGTAGGTTTTCTGAGGAATAGAAGTGACAGTAAAAGGGAGGAGCTGTAGGAACCACTCATCTAAAAAAGTATATACAGACATTTACCCATTCATGCCCATTCTGGTGTGATCTTAATGAAACATGAAATGAGAAGAAGTGAAAACTAATTTTACCAAAAAGTAAAAGCTTCTACCTAAGTAAAAAGTTTCTGTAAAGAGGGTATTTCTGTTCTCACAGATGATGGCTTCCTTCACCCATATTATCCAAATTTCAAATTTCATTTAAAAAAAAAAAAAGGGGAAAAAAGGAGCAGGCACATACTTACACTTACTGCTTTGTCTTTGTCATCTAGTACTAGAAGCCTCTTTCTCATTGTGTTACGTGTAGCTAACTTCAGAAACTAGGAAATAAATTGGTAATAAGCCAGCTTATTGGTCAGTAGACCTCTGAGAATTACTTCTGGAAAATTAGACCTGGGCAGCTTTTTTATGAAACAGTACACCCAAAAGTTTACTGCGGTGCCCCCTGAGGAGGATGGCATGGAGAATCCAAGGGCAAATTTCAGTAACAGTTTCATGTTGCTGCTGAAATACAGACCTAATTAATTTTTCATAATGTTTTTGTCCAAGTTCTTCTAAGTTTATACTATATTTTGAATCTGTATCTGATAAGCATTGGTTTCAGCTAGATGCAATTATTAGGCTAAAAACCTGGGTATTTTCCTGTTTAGGGACTTTAAACTGGTAATGACTGGAGTTTACTTGACATAGCTGAAGTCTGTGTAAAAGCTTTTCAAAACTTGTTCTACTGTACAGATGAACACTTGTGGTTTACACTGTGCCTCTTTCTGTTGTCATGTAAATATGCATAGCAAAGAATTGAATTGATACACACATGTATGAAAGATATCTGAGACTTTAATAATCAAGTAGAAATATTTGTTGATTGACATTTTCTAATCTATTTTATGTTATTTCTTTTCTTTTACAGGATATACTGTGAAGATAAGCAGACATTCCTACAGGATTGTGAAGATGACGGAGAGACAGCAGCAGGTGGACGTCTTCTCCATCTTATGCAGGTTGTAGAAATTAATCTTTGGCTTTTGGAAATCTTGAATTTATATTGAATTTAAAAATTGCTACAATGTAAATAAATTTGTAGAAGATTCTTTTAATTTTTGCTCTGCTAGCAGCCAGCCAGATGACTGCTTTCTCAAGGTAAAAGGAAATGTACAGACTGTAGCACTTTCAAGTCTTGGATCATAGAAACAAGTGATGTTTCATAGGTGGCAGTAATAGTTTGAGTTAAAGGATAAGTTTTAAATCCTGTGCTTCCTGTGTGATGTAAGGTACACAGAAAATGAAGACTGGGAGAAGCTGACTGTCAGAATATAACAGCTGATCTGTGCACAGCCTTTCATATGGTTCCCTTGAGTAGGTGTAATAGAAAGACACCAATATATGAACTTGCAGAGTAGAACTTCAAATACAAAAGGAGTGAAGGAGCTAAGTTGGTTTGATCATTTAGTCTGTTTTGTTGTGCTGTTTCCTGTTCTGGGTCCTTAGCCCTCATACTCACATATATTTTAGTCTTCAAATATTGAAATAATATTTGTCAAAGGTGCTACTAAATGTGAGTTGTGATTGATAAATTTTGGTTCATGATGCAAGCACTAGTAAAACCATAATTAAAATAGCCCAACTACAGGAGACAGCTGGGTGTATCTTAATGCTGTGCCTCAAGTCACTTAGCTGTGTGAGCAGACAAATCAGAATATTTTTAAATTTATATTTTAAATATAAAAATATTTGTTTTTATTTTAGATTGATGTTCCCTTCACAGCAGGAGTTTTATTTTCCTGTCCTTTTGTTGCTTGAATATTCTTTTGCTTAATATGTTGCACTCTTATTCCTGGAAACTTTTTTCCCCCAAGTTTCCTTTTTTTTTCCCTGAAAAAAATATAGTTAATGGAAACATTTTGACATTTTTAATTTTGAGCTTTTTCAGACTTCCTAAATAACTTAAACCAGACTTGGGAAGGTTTAATAAAGAAACTTAGGTTATGTAATATATGCAAGTATATGTGCTAAATATGAAGATATTATTGTTAGGAAAATAATGTAAAGATACAATTTAGCAGTTACTAAGATAACTGACGTTCTGAGATTATCAGCTTTTTTTCAATGTGTTAGCACATACTTTTGAAAGTTGTCTAGGCACTTAATATTCCATAAAAATTCAGTTTAGAACATGACATGACTGTCACTTCCAGATGTGAATGTGTGTAAATTATATGGATCATCATTCTGTGTCTGCAATCCTAGTTACTGGGAATATTTCTGTTCTGGAAGAATACTAAGATAAGGGTCAGAAAAATTCAATTTACAGCCATAGGAAAAGATTAAAGTAGTTTGTGGGCTGATTTCAGGATGTTCACAGATCTTGCAGTTTTTTTGTTTTGAGCCCTTATGACATAGGTATGAAAATTAGGTGATTTAAAACATTTATTGTTGCCGAACTTACAGGGTTTTTTTAGTTGGTGGTGGTGGTTTAGGTTTTTGTTTTTTTAAATAGAAATTAATCTTGTTTCAGATAAGACCAGCATTTCAAAACAGCACTTTCTGTGTTACAAAAAAATGTACTTTAGATTGGTACTTGTATGAGGTTACAAGAAGCTCTAGTTTAGATTAGTACCATCCTGTTTACTGTCAGAAGTTGTTATACATAGACTTTATGGCCAGTACATAAATGAAGAGTAAAAAATGCCTGTCACAGAACATACCCCCAGTTCTTTTAATTTTAAAATTCTAAGAATATTTCTGTTTTCATAAACAATGATTGACTCTACTAACAGTATTGTTCGAACAAGTCAGGTACTTGTTTTTTTCTCTTTAATGGAGATGATTAATGGTTGGTAACATACACATATTAACAGTACTAGCTTATAGCATTTTATGTATCCATATGTATAATGCCTGTGGCCTGGCTGTTACTAGCCTCATCCACCAACACTTCCAAAACTATGAATAGACAGTCAGCTTAGTGACAGGGCAGTACAATTGATCATACCAAAGAATGAAAAATGTAACTCAGTAACTTTTTAAAATACAAGATAGTAGACCTATTTTATGTTTCAAATTGGTGCCAGCAGTGAACCAGGTTCAATTAAAAGATAAAGACTTCTATTGCTTTCTTTTATTCACAGATTTTGAATGTCCACAATGTGTTAGTTGTGGTGTCCCGCTGGTATGGAGGTATTCTCCTGGGACCAGATCGTTTCAAACATATAAACAATTGTGCAAGAAATGTACTCGTGGAGTACGACTATGTACCTTCAACGGTATGTTTCGTCCTTCCAGAATGAAGGTGTTTGCATGTGAACTTGTGTGACTTTCCACTGTTAGATGAAGCCAGAAGAAAAGTAATACAACCTGTGTGAATGGATAAACAAGTCAAAATTTTCATAAATCTCTGTGACCTATTCGTACTGTTCATATTAAAAATAATTCTCATGGGTGACCTTGGGAGAATATTTGTGTTTTACAAGAATATTCTTAAAATTTTGCAATGCTTGTTTTTCATTTCAGGAAGAGTCATCTAGACAAGCCGGAAAGAGCAAAAAGATAAGGAAGGATAACAAGAAGAGAACAGAACACTAATTTATTTTTTAAAAACTTTGAAAGTGTATTTTGCACATATTTATACAAAAACCCCCTGAACCTTACTGCCTTATATTATAGAATGGACATATTGTATTCAGAAGAGAATTCAGTAAAGCCATAGATATATTTTCATCTTGTTTTGTGATTTCTTCTGCTGTTCTGAAGTAAAGCTTAGACACAAGTTTTCTGTTTCTTACACATCGGAGCTCCTTGTTACGAGGACAGTGCAGCATCTGGAACCATTGCTCTGTCCAGTCCCTTCCCACCAAACAACAGCTGACTAATTGATAATGTGGATTTCTGATCTCCATTCCTGGATTCAAATATGTGTCTTGTGTTAGTAATTGAATTCTGTAGTTTGTTGTACTGAGAGTGGGACTAGAGTCATTCATACACCACGTCACTTAAAAAGTTTCAGATACTCCTTTGTGAAAGGAAAGCATGGGGTTGAGTGTGGTGTTTGGAGTGCCTGGTCCTGGCTGTGCAGTTCCTGATCAGATGCTAGATAGGGGCTGCTTGGTGACATTTGGAAGACTGAACATAGGCAGTGAGCTAAGAAATGTGATGAAACTACTGCAGAATTTCTTTGAGGATTGTTCTGTGATAGTTGGCACTCAAGGAACCTGTTGAAAAGATGAGGATTTGTGTTGCATAATTAAAGGAACCAGCAAAATTTACCATACAATCAGTGAGCAGAATGAATCCCTGGTCCTTTAAAATGTCTGAAAATAGACCATCAGAGTGGAAATGCATTTTTACTTTCACATCATTTCTTTCAGAGAGAGCATGAAATGCTGTCTAACTGTCTTGTGGACACTTCTAGATAAAGAAGTTACAGTCCCTTCCTATTTTTGTTTGCAAGAATTTCCTAAATTTAAACTTCCTTCTTTTTTTAAGGAATAATGCAACAAGAGAAAGAGATTCCAAAAATGTCTGATGACAACTCTTTAAAATTCTGCTGGGACATTATTTTTAATGTTAAACTGAAGCAGCAGTTTTAACCATTTTTGTTATCAAATACTGTAAGGTTTTTAAGACATACTGCCCACTTGTGGAAGAGTTACAAATTACATTACCTTGGAAAAGAAAAAAAAGAAAGATGATATAATTAATTTATACCCAAAATACAATTGCCTGTCATTAAAATATGTTAACAAGGAATCAAAAATTATCAGAAAAGGGCGGATAGTGGCTTTTGTCTTTTTGTCCACTCTGTTGTATCTTTTTATTTTCCTGCTTTTGCTTTGTTATTCTGAAAATTAATCAGTAGTAGAGCTGAACACAGATTAGCCATCACAGTGTTAGTTTCCTACAAGGTAGTATCTGCATTTTTTTTTCCTTTGTGTCTCAAACCTAAATGAGCAGACCAAGAGTTTGTATCTGCTCTCTGATTGGGATAACTCATTAGCCGAGTACTTTCTGAAGAACTGCTTGGTGGTTTTGCTCTCAAGCATTTCCTCTAAATGTTCTGCACGCATCTGGAAATCATTCTGAAATATGGAAAGTCACATTTTGAAAATCTTAACTTTTAAAAGTGAAGATAATTCTCTTTCTTACAGCATCATACCAATTCTGGGCTGTTAGTAATCTCGTCATATTGCAGGAAATTCAGAGTGGTGTTTCTACTGTTTAGCATGTGTTTAATGTGGAGCAAAGAAGGAAGGGAAGGTGAAGATGGGATGTTTATTTGTGGATGCTTTTGGTGTGTTCATCTTTGCATTTATTGCCTAGCATGTCTATTTCAGTAAGAAATAAAGCAGTTTATTAGCTACTTTAATATTTTTCTAGCTAGACTAGATGTTCTAGACTAATTTAATCACTCTCTTAGCCACACACACAGAAAAATTCTGCTAAAAGCTCATGAAGTGTGTCCACTATTGAACTTCACTTCATATGTATAGATGCCTTACGACACATAGGCTTTCCAAGCATGGTGTGGAAGACTTGGGTGTTCAAGATTGCAAGAAATCAAGTTAGATCTAACATCCAATAAGAAATTTTGAGGGAGGGAGAGGGGATACAATTAGGCAGCTACATACTCCTGGGAAGCACTCCCAAGATTTCAGCCATGTAGCAAGGTCAGCTGGTTCTCATGAAAAACAATGAAACTGCTGAATTTTGTTCTGAGGCTTCAGTATGGCTGGCAGAAGAAAGGCTACTAAAGGTATTACTTAGTAATTGTGCCACAGGGTGTTTTCTGCACTACCTGGACACGAAATAAAGCTAAACCAGTGATGGACATACATGCTGGGAAGATATTTGCATGGATAATAAAGTTTTGCCTTTTTTTACTGCTGCCATTCAAACATTCAGTAAAAGCACTTGGCAAACACTAATGAATTTGTTCCCACAACAGAGGCAAAGGCATGACAGCCAACAGTTTTCAAATTTAAGTATTTAAAATTAGACACCGAAGTGTTTTTAGAACCCGTAATAAAAGTGATTGAATTTTTACAACTGTAGAATACTCACAGCTCTCTGCAAGTGGCTTCATTATTCATACAAAATATAAGCATTGGTGGAAGACACACAATTTTTCCCACCAGTGTGGAAAGAAAAGCCTCATCCTGTTAACTGCCAAGCTCTCATTCAGGGAGTCTGTATTTCCTTGGTTCTGGGACAGCAGCAGCTGGTGCTTTGTCACTGAGGCTGCTGCTAAGAATTTTGAAACAGTGAGAGTTTTGAACTGAGCTCTGAGGGTTGGACCATTACAGATAAACTGGTCTGGCAAATAACTGGATGTATGCTTATTTACATTGTATCAGTTATCAGCCCCTGAGTCCACAAAAAGAGAGCAATAGCAACAACAAAGTTGACCGGTGCCTTTCATCAGCAAAAAGTATAAATATATAGAGGGGGACCAAAGGCTTGGTGAATTGCAACAATGTCAGAAAAACAAGGATAAAATTAAAAAGTAGTTTAAAGTCTCATTAAGATATGTACACAGGTTGAAAAAAAAAGATAGAAAAAGTTTTTGTATATAATGCTAGCAAGCAGAAGATACCAGGAAGGGAGGGAGGAAAGCAAGAGGGAACCTCAAATCAACCCTCCTGACCTCCACAGATAAGAATCATGTTGCTTAAAGAAGAACTTGCATTTGAAAAAAACTGCATATTTCCTAAGCAGAAGTCTGCTAGAGTTCTGCTTTAAAAGAATCTTGGGAAGACTAGATTTATCTAGCATCATTTTTTTTTTCCCCCCCTCCTGGGACAATTATTTTTGGATGCTTATTGGATTTTTGACCCATCCTATTTTCACACCTGAGGAATCTCAACTTTTTGGATAACTTTGCCAGATACAACTTCCTTCCCAGACTGACCTGACCTGGATACCCACCATGCACAACAGCACTGCCGGAACTCCGCACGCGGCTGCGACGTGTAACGAGACTTGGCCCACTCAGCCGCTGAGCTCTGAGTTCTCACTGGGTGTGTTGGTGCTGCTGGCTTTCCTCATGGTGCTGCTGTGTGTGGTGACCATCCTTGGAAACATCCTGGTGATCCTTGCTTTTGTTATGGACAGAAACCTGAGGCATCGGAGTAACTATTTCTTTCTGAATCTTGCTGTTTCTGACTTTGCAGTGGGTAAGTCACCAGCTGTGGAGCCATGTGCTGGTTGTGTTGTAGGACTCTTTGGAGAAGCACTGGTGTTTATTTTCTGTGTGTTTTCTTCTGAGAGAACTATTTCCCAGCTGTGTCTGGGGGAAGGATGAGGAATGGTGGAAGTTGCATGAAGTATTTGAGAAGCCTATGATTTTATTTTAGAAGCTTATGATTTTTCAGAAAAACAAGGATGCTATGTTAAGCAGGTAATATTTAATGCTTCAGGATAAAATACTACTGTGGGAATTTTATGGAAAAACAAAGAATGGGAGTTGCTTGTGGAGAGTTTTGGCTGAAATCCAGATAGTCAGATCAAATAGAGCCTATATTGTCTGACAGATCTTGCATACATAGTCAATACATTGTGTGATTACATACATGCTCAGTATCTTCTTCTTTTCTGCTGTCACACAATATAGAACATCACCTGAATTTTGTGACTAAATAGTGATGAATGCTATTTTGAAACATTTTGCTGTACTTGCTCTGTCTAGAGTAATGCCTTAGGAATGTATGTTTTTATAGGCAGATAACACAGAATAGTGTTTACTTCAGCAGGTAGTCAACTGCTCCTTCCTTTAGCAGATAGTGTTAATTGGAGAGGTAACAATGATACATAATAAACATGACACACCTTCCAGAGAGGTATTAATTATAAGAACGTCACTAGTACCTAGGTTATAATAGAGGTCCTCTGGTTGCAGGATAATACAAAGGCTTCTATGTGGCAATTCCAGCCAGTATTGATCAAACTTTCATCAGATACTGCAGAAATGTTTCTCTGTTCTCATGCAGTTCAATGCTGGCTGATGTGAGCATTCGTTTTTTTTTCACAGGTGTGTTCTGTATGCCGTTGTACATCCCTTATGCCCTGACGGGGACATGGCACTTGGGAAGAAGCCTGTGCAAGCTCTGGCTGGTTGTGGACTATCTCGTGTGCACAGCTTCAGTGTTTAACATCGTCCTTATCAGCTACGACCGTTTCCTGTCAGTTACAAAAGCTGTAAGAATAACGTTTCTATTTATTGCTTTATATATGCTGGGATTTCTATAAAACTCAGAGTGTTTCACAATTAACACTTTAAGCTAAAGGGTGCTTTGTTATTGGTACCATTTTTTAATGGAGAAACGATGTTCCTTCCATGTTGCACTGGGACTTAGAGATAGGACATTGCCTTGCCTATTATTTCAACGTTACCCTCATGCCTGCACTAGAAATTATTTAATTACACTACATAGAAGATGGGAAGGTCAAGGTGGGAAAGGGACAGAAGGCATGTGGAGAACTTGGGACTTTGGCCATTAGAAGTGGTGGTGGTGATGAAAACTAGATTGAGTCAAGGATGTGATAAGGCTTAGATAAATTTTGTAAGAGGGTATGGAGAGACATGTGAGATGGACTGAGTGAAGATCAGATGAAGATCTGAATTACCACAGGGGGTGATTGACATGTGCTGACAATGAGCAGTTGATTGGAAACTGATCCCTTGAAGTAAAAAGAAATATACTAAAATATGTGGAGAGGTAAGAGATGTTTCTTGAGAGCTGTTGTTCTTCTGTTTCAGAAGGTATTCAAGGAATCAAGCAATAAATATTATTAATTTAAAGTATTAAGTAATTGAATTACTTACTATTACTATTAGAATTAAGTAATCAATATTAACATTCACCATTTCTAAGCTCTACTTTATATTTGGTCATAGAATCATAGAAAGGTTTGGGTTGGAAGAGACCATAAAGATTACCTGGTTCCAGCCCTCTGCCATGGGCAGGGACATCTTCCATTAGACCAGATTACTCAGAGCTCCATCCAACATGGGCTTGAACACTTCCAGGGATGGGGCATCCACAACATCTCTGGTCAACCTGTTCCAGTGCCTCACCACCATTACAGTAAAGAATTTCTTCCTAATATCTGATCTACACCTACTCTTTTTTGTTTAAAAGCCATTGTTCCTTGTCCTATCTTTATTTGCCCTTCAGAACCTGTCTGCATTCAGGTCACCTTTCTTCTCCAGGCTGATGAGTCTGCTTGCTTGAATGACATGTTTCATATTAGACTGGGAAGTTCTCATTTGGGAAATACTGATACGATGCCTAATCACTTTCTCTTCTACCCTAGTGGTGTGGTTTTACAGTTAGTTTTTGCTGGTTTGTTGGTTTTGATTGTTGTTTTTTTAAAGCTGGACAGTAAAGTATAAAAATCTCTGCATTTAAAATAATAATGAAGATGAAGAGCTCAGAATAGGAAAAATGTAAATTAAAGGGTCTCTTTAACCTAGCTGAGATCCATGTTCTTATGCAATTGCTGATGGTCTTCATTTACATCATCACATTCTGGTTTTCTTCTTTAGGTTATTAGGATGGAGTGAGTCTAGGAATGTGTAACAGAGCTGTTATCCAAAGAAAAGACATCATGCTTCCTCATAGAGTTGGAATCCACCTCTGCCTCTGCTGCAAACCTAGCCTGTGGTCCAGACTTAACAATTTGTGGAGCTGTGCCCAGTTTCCTGTTTTCTGACTCTAAATTGAGCTGGTTGTGGTCTTGCACAGGGCAGCAAATTCATTACTGCAAACTTGGAGCTGTGCACACGAGATAGTCATGTAAAGCTAATATGATGCTTTAAGATATAGAGGACTCTGAATCTTCAGGCTACAGATATTTAAAACAGAAAATTCAAACCTATGTGTATAACCCACTACTGCTCTGATACTCAATGGTGAAATAGGGGCAATGCCCTTGGTATGGTGTGTGGCTGTGAAGGTGTCATTCATTATTATTTGTATAGCATGCAGGTGCTCTCCTAATGAACAGCATAGAAAGCTGATGAGGAGGGCAGCAGTTCTGAGGAAAGCCTGAGATGCCGAATGTTGAACAGTATAGAGGAAATAAACTTGTCTGGGTTTTCATTAGCTTATCTTCTTGTGCTATGAAAGATGGAGGGGACCAAGAGTATGGCTGGGGTATTACAAGGTGGGCTTAGCTCTTGTATTTTCTAACCTTGGATGATTTTATTTTAATTCTTAATATGCTGTCTGGGTAGACATAAAAGCATCAAGATTTTCAGTAGTGGAATGAACTGCTTACAAGGTAAGGCTAACATTAAAATAGGGTGATTCAATAAGGCAGGGGTGTTACAGTATATGTCTGGGATAGAATTTTCTGCTATGGCAAGAGGAAACAGTCTGAAAAATTATATGGTCTGGTGTTTGCAGTCTCATATGGCAATCTGTCTAATATAGAAGGCTTCTACTTTTCCTGAGCACGTAGGAACTCCCACAGCTGAGCCTGGGCTGATGAATCATAAAGCTATTCCTTACTAATTCCTTATTGCTACTTTACTGTGTGCTGGAAACAAGCTATGCCCTTTCAGATGTGGAAGCCAAATGATAGTTTAGCCATCATAATTTCTACTCCTCTCCTATGTCCAGTATTGAAATAAATCACAGAGCTGCAGTGTAAGGAGAACAAGACTAGCAGTTTTTCAGAGCCTCACATAGTGAAGACATTCTAGGAGTCTGGGGACATACAGAAAAAATACTGTATTTGGCTTGATTACGTATGGGTTTTTGACATAATTTTCCCAAAATGTTGTCTGAATATGTGATGTGTCCTTTTTCCCTCGCAGGTATCTTACAGAGCCCGGCAGGGAATAATGTCCAGCCCTGCCATCCAGATGGTGGCCATCTGGGTCTTTGCCTTCCTCCTGTACTGCCCAGCCATCCTGTTTTGGGAGCACCTGGCCGGACACAGCGTGGTAGCAGCGGATCAGTGCTACGCCGAGTTCTTCGACAACTGGTACTTCCTCCTGTGTGCATCCACCCTGGAGTTCTTTGTGCCGCTGCTCTTGGTGAGCTACTTCAACATGCACATCTTCCACAACATCCAGAGGCGCCAGCGGCGTGGCAGCGTGCAGGGCTGTGAGCCTGCAAGGAGCAGCAGCCTGTCCTGGAGGTTTTGTGGCTTGCCAAGGCCAGGGGCATCATCTCCTTCGTCAGAAGCAGAGGACAGTGTTTCTTCACTAACGAGGTCATGGAGACCAGCAGTGGTGGCTAATGTTCCATCTCAAACAGAAACCAATTCTATGGCTCTCAAAAGGAACTTTTCCACTTCTTTTTGTTCAAGGACTGGATCAAAACTGCAGCGGGACAAAAAAATAGCAAAGTCTCTTGCCATAATTGTCTGTGTGTTTGCCATTTGCTGGGCCCCATACTCTTTATTAATGATTATTCGTGGGGCCTGCCAGGGAACTTGTGTCCATAACTTCCTGTATGAAGCAACCTTTTGGCTTTTGTGGATCAATTCTTCTTTGAACCCATTTCTTTACCCTCTTTGTCACATGAGGTTTCGAATGGCTTTTCTGAAGATATTATGTCCCAAAAAGTTTGCAACATTGAGATCTGTTAATACGCCTTCTTTTTAGAGAGGTAAAAGAAGTGTCTTGCAGATAAGGTTCCTCTGTTATTTAGTGATACCTTTTCATATGTATCATTGGCATAAATAGAGGAAGAAACCATTTGTTTACTAATGACATTGTGTAAGAGTGCAGCAGAGTTACGAAGTTTCCTTGATACTGATAATTTTCAGGATCTCATTTTTGGTTTTGCTGGTATGATGCCAGATTGATTACCGTCTAGTGCATTGTAAAGAACAACAAGCTTTGCTGGATGTCCTCTTGGTTTGTGAACTTGAGGTATATTTTTTTCCTTCTCTCTTTCTTTTTCTTTCCTTTGTTTAATACAAAGAGCCGGCACTGTGAAAGAACTCTGCTATCACTGTCTTCATAGAGAGTCACTGGAGGGAGATACCTGCTCATGTATGTGTTTAAGTAAAATTTGTGTCCTATTTATGAACCTAAAGCTATCAGTGAAGAAGCGATTCTGCTGCATTTTTAAAATATTGTAAAAATACTCACGGAAGCAGTATATTTTTATTTTATAAACTATTATGAAGACAAGAGTGTGCCTTCTCCTTGTTATAATCCCCATAGTGAGCAATATGAAAGTGAGTGGACTGCCTAACTTGCCATATCTGTCCTTTTCAAATTTTAATGTAGTGCATACCTGGCATTGCAGGACAAAGTACATGTAAGTTAGTAATTCTGAATGATTTTCAGAGAATGAAATTTTACATACTAAGAGAATTTTGAGATTGGTTATCAAAATTGTCAGACATAAATGGTTGTTAGTCTTATCACCTCTTTTTTCACCTGACAGTGCTGCCTCTTTGGTCACACTTAAATGATATTTAGTGGCAGATCTGTGCACTATGTGATTGCCTAAAAGATAGGCCAGGTTTGGGCACATGATCAAATTCCTGTTGAATTAGTAGAGCAAGCTAAGTTCATACTGGATTTTTGATTTTGGCTGGCTGTGCGAGAATAGACAATAGACTCTCCAGTGAAAAGCTTTGCAAGTGCAAAGATATTCCATCAAAATGTCTGGAACAAATTTGATCTGACAGAGTGATTTTTATACTAGATCAGTTCTTTGTGTCCTGTTACTGTGACATTATATGGATATCTCTGCCACAGAACAAATATCAAACTGGATTTTTTCAATTAGGGGGCAAGGACCATATTCACTGCTTGAGAATGAGGTTTACAGGAAGCTGATACAGAGATGTCTTAAGCAGCTCTTAACAAAGGAGTTGAATGTCCAGTGCTGAAAGGAGTGAGTAGATGTGTTGGAGAAAGCAATGGAGTTTGATTACACCCCATTCCATGTGCCAAACTTTCTTACCTTGTATTGAGTGTTGCAACTCACTCAGAAGGCTTTCATGGATGGGTAAGTGAGATTCACTGGCTACAGTTTTTCTCTCCTTTTATGTAATTTTATTCCTCTTTGTTTATAAATATAAAAATGTATGAAGATGGAAAGAGAAATCTGATGCACAGAAAAATGAAGACTAGTATTCAATTTAAATAGTTTTAAAACTAATTTGAAATTGACTTTAGAAATGTTGCCATAACAGAGTACTCCTTTGCAAACACAATTCAAATGCATGGAAGCAGCCTAATTATAACACAAAAGCTGATGGCTTTGAAGAGCTAGAATGTCTTTCTGTTCAGAGGTCTGGAACTGAAGACTTCTCTTGCCAGTTTTCACACTGTTGGAAGATTATCTTTCCCCATTCATTCTCGCTATGGTCCTTGCCTCACGTGGATAGTGTTACCGATTGTGAGCCTAATTGCTAAGAGAGATGCAGCTTCAGGAGGAGGTCATTGGTTCAGCACAGCTGTTTTTACTGTCATGAGCTGTGGTGCTGCCATAGATTTTGTGGGGTTTGTTTTTCTGTGATGCCTAAAAAGTCTAAACACACGCACAGAGTTCAAACATTTATAGAATAGCTGGTGTATTAAACATCTGTTAAACAGAGAATCTGAAGATAGGCCCAAGATAGAAATGAATTTGAGTTGTCTGCTTTTCTACCCCTATGCTTTTAGTATAAAAATTCAGTTTGCATTTTGTGTTTAAAGAATATGTTATTCATTTTGGAAAAAAAACCTACAAGATTATTGTCTAGATAAACTAAGTCTACATTTTGCAGTGCTGGAAAACTAGTTAGGGAATTTTCCAGGCAGCACAATCTATAGCAAATTTGAAACATTTCATGGTGAAGCTACTAGAGATCAGTGTTTTTTTAGAGTCTGTTTTACACACACAGTGTTCAAACTTTTTTCTCACACCACTCCTGTGTAATAGACAAATTTGTTGTATTTTTCTAATTGTTGAAAATTTTGCTTAGTGCTCCCAGGGTAATTCAAGCACTGGGTTGCTGTGCCCACAGGTTTAAAATTGTCTTTGTCAGGGTGGCATCATAAATATTTTCCCTTGTAAATCATAAATCAGACATATCTCAGGGTTATAAGATACTTATTCAGCATTTGTTCTTATGCCCTGACTGAAATGGATGTTTCTTGCCAAAGAGTTTTCTAACCCAGGTGTCTCTAACCAGTCACTCATCCATTTCAATATTTCATGTCCTTGAATTTTCTTCTGTCTTTGCAGAGGTTCAGTAGGCCTTCTAAATACATGGTGACAGTAGCTATATGACTTTGTGGGCTTCAACTCAAATCACACCTTTTTTTTTCTAATCTGACCCTCTCAGATTTAAAAAAAACCCCAAAAACTCAACAAATAAAAAATACATGTTGGAAGAAATTGTGTTATCTTTTTTTGTTTATTTCTGGAACAAATATTAAATTCTAATGATTCTCCTAATGTCCATGTCCTTTATTTTCCAAAAGAAGGATCACAGAGATTTCCCTGAGTGCCGCACAGGACTATGATTAAAACTTCAACATTTGATTTATTCCCTAATTTTAAAAGCAAATTAATACATTCCCCTTGCTCACTAATTCAGTAATTTTATCAAAGAAGACAACCAAGTTGCTCAGGCACGATTTACCCTTGGTAAGTCCATGCTGACTGCTTCCAGTCACTTTCTCCTCCTCCAGGTCCTCAGAAATACCTTCCAAGATGACCCACTCCATTATTTTCCCAAGGACTAAAGACAATCTGACCTTTTGTCCTTGTGGCAGCATTTAAAGATTGTTGCAATATTTGCCTTTCTTCAGTTGTTGGGACTTTCCCTTTATCTCCATGACCATTCTAAGAGGATAGAAAGTGGCCTTGCAAAGGTGGTAGCTGGATCTCTTGATAGCCCAATGGGTTCCATGAACTTTTATGGGTCAAGTCCCTTCAAGTAATCCTGCTTTATTCTCACCTGCTTGTGACAGTTCTCATCTGTGAACTCATTCACTAAGCATGGAGGAAAGGTAGACCTAGTTAGTGAGGAACGAAGCTAAGGAAGCACTGGGTACCTCAGCCTTATCTACACCTGCTGTCACTGGATCACTGATCCCAGCCAGAAAAGTACCTATATTTTTATTATTCATCATTTTGCTGTTAATAGGGTGGCTAAAGTTCTTCATGTTGCTCTTCATGTTCTTTACAAACTTTAGCTCTAGGTGAGGTTTTGTTTTCCTAACATATTCTTATGTGGCCAGGTAACATTCTAAATATCTTCTTTGTATTCTGTCCCTCCTTCAAATTCCTTCATGCTGCCTTTTTGCATTGTAGTCTCCAGGGTTAGCCACTGTCATGATACTTCTGCTTGTTTTCTTGAGAGCTGGGATGGTCTATTCTTGTGCATGGAGGTTGCTGTTTTTAGAGGCCTGCAGCTTCCCTGAGCTCCTTGTCTTTTGGATCTGCCACTCATGGGATTCCCACTACCACTTTCCTAAACAGAAATCTGCTAACCTCAAGCCCATGGTCTGCACTGGTACTCTCCTTCCGCATCCCATTGAGGATCTGGAGTTCCACTACCTCAGTCACTATATCTGAGTCTGGCACTGATAACACATCCCTACACAGCCCCTCTTTATCACTGGGCAGCTGATTCAGCTGTGCATCACCCTCATTAGCCCACGCAGGACTTGCATCTGAAAGTTCCCCCTGACAGCCTCCAGGAACCTTGTTCACTGCTAGGACCTGATGTGTTGCACTTCAAGCAGATGCCATGAACGCTAAATTCCTACATAAGAAGCAGGTCCTGTGGTCCAGAAGCTTCCTTGAATTGCTTAAAAAAGACTTAATCACCTCCCTCACCCTGAGCTCGCAACATGCTCTCATCACAATGTCACCCATGTCAAGTGTGGCTTGGTGACTGCACAGGAAGCTCTAGTACCTCCTCTGTGCTTCCCAGGCTGCAGCTGTGCACACAGTCCTAAGGGAGCTGTGTCTCTGCCACATTTTGCTATTCCTGAGGTCTCTTTTGTTTCTGTCACCCTACACCTTTTGCTTTAATGACTCTTTACAACATAATTCCCTTTGTTCCTCAGTATGGTAGCAGAGCACTGCACCTTTCCTCCCCACATCTTGCCCACCCTCTCTTTTCTTGTTTCTTGCCCTACATCTTCCCAAACACCTGGCAATATAGCTGCAATTTGAAATGCAGATGACTCAGTGTGCCATGATGTTACAGAGTCACTGAGTGTCAACCACAGTCATAGCCTACCAAATTCTGTGCACTCCTATCAAAATAAATGGAAGGGATATCTTTACTCACACCTGAAAAGGGCTAAAGACTTGGTACCTCATGGAGTAAAAGCTTATCTAAGATTACTTGGGAAATGCAGGATTAACTTGGCCACACTATAAAGACCTCCAAAGTCCAAGTATTTGGTTTGTTATGCCCAGATTTTCTGGTTAGGGTGAGCTGAAGAGGTATTTGTGGTGCTTCTGGTGCATGTAACTGTATTACAAATGCTCTGTAACCAGAAACACTAAGAAATATCTCTCTGTTATTAACTGTAAAATTAAAAAAGTGCTATAGCAGCAAATGCGAAAGTGTCTACATTTTACTGTAAGGGAAATAGAATTGTAATAATTTTAATCCTGTTAACCACTGTGGAGGTGAAAATGAGATATGGTTTTAGATTCAGCACCATCTGATGTGTAAAACCACTTACACATTGCTAATATGGAAACTGCTTGACTGTGAAAAGAATTTTCTTCAGACAAGATTTTTTAGATTAGTAGATAAGGATCTGTGTACAGGAAAGACACTGTTTATGGGGTGTCTTTTCTAAGGCCCATAGATGCATTCAGATAAAGAAATGTCAGAGACTCTTGTGTTCCATATTTTTGATGTTGTGAATATTTTCTTTTTATGTTTCAGTATTCACCCCAGCCTGCTAATAGACTTGTCTCAACCTTTTGGATAACTTTGCCAGATACAACTTCCTTCCCAGACTGACCTGACCTGGATACCCGCCATGCACAACAGCACTGCCGGCACTCCGCACGCGGCTGCGACGTGTAACGAGACTTGGCCCACTCAGCCGCTGAGCTCCGAGTTCTCACTGGGTGTGTTGGTGCTGCTGGCTTTCCTCATGGTGCTGCTGTGTGTGGTGACCATCCTTGGAAACATCCTGGTGATCCTTGCTTTTGTTATGGACAGAAACCTGAGGCATCGGTGTAACTATTTCTTTCTGAATCTTGCTGTTTCTGACTTTGCAGTGGGTAAGTCACCAGCTGTGGAGCCATGTGCTGGTTGTGTTGTAGGACTCTTTGGAGAAGCACTGGTGTTTATTTTCTGTGTGTTTTCTTCTGAGAGAACTATTTCCCAGCTGTGTCTGGGGGAAGGATGAGGAATGGTGGAAGTTGCATGAAGTATTTTAATTGCCCTATATGTCTCAAAATATGTTATAATATGAAATGCATCCTTTTTCATATAAATACTTGTAATACTTATAATACTTATAATGCTTCAAGACAAAGAAGTGACTGTTCTATGTGAATACTTGTTGAAGAGGTGTTTTGCTACAGTTTAGGGTTTACCCTTGCCTCTCCTGTAAGAGTGTTCATCACACACTTCAGAACATCCCTATGTGTCATACAGCCAGGTAAATAAATTACCTCTCTACATAGTACTAATGGTTTATGAAAGACACTTTATCACCAGGACTTTTTACTGGCTTCAGCTTAACACAGGCTATTGATCCAATGGGTTGTTTGGTACCAGTAACACCCTTCTGGCATTTCTCATCTATTTTCCTCATTGGCCCCCTATTCCCTTAGTGGCACTGCAGAGCTCCAGGAGAGTTTGTTGCTGGAGCTGCCATGGATCCAGTCCTGGCTGGTGGTGCTAAGTGAGGTGGTGGTGGAGTGATTGCCTTTTGCAGCACTCCTCCATGGCTGGAGCCAGGGAAACAGCCCATGCAGCAGAGAAAACCTAGCAAAACCATAGTCCTGTGGCAAATGTGTCAGCAAACTTGAGGCTGGCACAGAGGTATTTCTGCACACAAAGGCTTTCTCTTCAAGATGGCCACAGAAACAAATATTCACTGAGCCGTGAGAAAGGAAATCACGGCCACAGACCTACTGCACTTCTGACAATACCTTCCCCCAAATGCTGTTCCTTTGTCAAGTGCTGTATAGTGAAGTGTATTAGTTCAGCTTTTAAGGCTTTCCTTAATTTATGCCATTTATAACATGTTGCCATTTATAACATGTGTAGCCTGATTCTGTCCCTTACTCCATGGGGCAGAAACCAAACAATGCATGTGATGAAGCCTTTGCTTTCCTGCTAAGGTAGACAATTTGCTGGAGCTGCTATTTCATTGATCAGGTCTTCTGCAAAAGTCTCTTTCTCCTCATATCTCATAGTCTAGTCAAGAGAGTTAAATATCTACCTTCTGCATCTGTTCTTTGTGGCTGGTGTCTAATGCATTCTTAAGTCAGCCAAGAGGAACTGATCACAATCAGTATTATATGGTCCTATATAGACTGTAAATCTAAGATTTTGCCTCTGATATTGGTCAGGAAATACTTTATTTTCTGAAATTGCTGTGGGGTTGGTTTTTCTTTTAAAATTTATTAAAAATCTGGAATCTTTCCAGGGATGTGACTTATGTCTTTTGCATCCACTAATTAGTAAAAGTAAGAATAGCTTCAACTATCAATGCTTATAACCTGGGGTTTGCCTCTGTATTTATATGCATAGCTAAAAGCAGTCATTACTGTTTGACATGGTGCCAAACATGGATCCCATTGAAGTTCATGAGAATAGCAGCTGTTATCATCAGCAACCATGAAAAATGAGTATTTAGTATTTAAAGTGTTTAAAGTGATGCTGCTTGTATTTAAGGTATATGTTAAAATAAGCCGTCAGTATTGAAAGTGCTGTGAGCACTTCCCTGTTGATAACAGTCTGTCAACTCATTGTCCAGAGTTTTATTGCCAGTGGACCACATAGCCCTGGTTATGTTTAGTAACTTCTAATATCTTGATGGACATGTCAAGAAAGGAATACTCTGGAGAGTTTAAAATGCATCTTGCAGCGGCATATAATTTTCTATTTGCCTCTGGTAGATGAGCATTTTCAGGAATTTCAGGAAGCAACTATTGCACCACACTTTTGAAAAAAATGTTAGTGCTAAAATGAAGAAGTTGCTGGCTTAAAAATAAAACAGAAACATGATTTTGTTAATGAAGTACTTCAGTGGAAGGTCTCTTGGACAAAATACAAATTTAACAAACCAAAATAGTTCTGGAGTTATTCTCAGGTAGAGAAGAAGCATAAGATTTAAAAAAACTCCTTAAAAATGAGAGTTTCATACTTCTGGTGTGTCTTCTCTATCTCTGGTAGAACACCACACAGACTGCCCAATATATTGTTTTCAGCTTACAAATGCTAACCAACCTTACAGGAATAACTACCATTGGCAACATCTGCAGATGTGTTTAGAGGAGAATTCTAATACAGATGAAAGGACAGAGGAAATACAATGATGAGGTTACCTATCAGAATGCAACCACAGTGCATATATGCTGCAGCACTGATTTTATATCTTTAGAGAGTCTAGGTTGGTTAGACTTGGATTTCTTTCTTCAGCAAATCCTTCTTTGCTGAATTGCTTTCAGCTTATTGTCAACAATCAGCATACATAAATCACACTAAGATCTAAGACATAGAAAGTCACCATCGAATTTCATGAGAATTTAAGAATTTATGTACATAAATTATATAAATTGCATATTCACCTTAATAGATTTGTTGATTTTTTTTTACCCAAGTACCAAAACAGTGTGTCTCTCTGCTTCAAGGAGTTTGCAATCCCTATGAACTGCATGGTGTCTTTCTGGTGGCTTTCCACAGGTGTGTTCTGCATGCCCCTCTACATCCCTTACAGCCTGACAGGGAAATGGCACTTGGGAAGAGGCATCTGCAAGCTCTGGCTGGTTATGGATTATCTCCTCTGCACAGCTTCAGTATTTAACATTGTTCTTATCAGCTATGACCGTTTCCTGTCAGTTACTAAAGCTGTAAGTACCCTGTATAGAGCTTCTCTGATTTTTTTCCTTGGATGGTTATATTCACCAGCCTTTGCCATGTTCATGAGTAAAGGCCCAAATTTAGTGAAGATAATATCCCTCAAAAAATATACTGGCATGTGGTTGGTGATTATTAGATATTTTGCAGCCAGATAGAGCAAATATTCTACATTGAGCATGCTTCAGAGCAGAGCCAGTCAGCTGGGACTTTTCTCACAATTTCTGCTGCAAGCTGCTTTTGTGTTACTGCCTGAGGAAAAGCAGTCTAGGGGGTAAAATGGATAAGGCAGCAGCCTGGTAAAAAAGGAGCAGGGAAAGAGAAAATTCAGAGTAAACTGGATTTGGGTTTGGACCTAACACCAGGCATGAAAGGAAAAGACAGTGGAGCTAGGGCAGTGAAATAAAGGACATTGAGGAGGGTGTCTAGACCTGAGATATGGTCAAAAATTATTCTGGATAAGACTGGAAGCAAGAGCAAACAGGCAGAAAGTGGGACAAAGGGCAAACTGCAATAATTGCCTGTAGATACACAGCAATAAACTCCTCTTTGTGTCTGGAGCAAGACCCCAAACTTCAGACACATTCTGTCTCTGCCTTCTGCAGAGAATCCTACACACCTAGTGTGAGCTTTATGTCTTGGGCCATGCTAGGGGTGGAGGCCAGCATTTCTCACCAGCCACACTTAGCTCAAGTGGCAGGGAATGTCACAGAGAACCAAAGGTTCTTCTGAATTTAGGAGACTGTCAACATAACTTCACACAATAGAATTACAGTCTTATTTGTGGTAATTAATTTAACTTCCTACATCTGCCTTTTTATTAAATGATATTATGTTATTTTATTTAAAGCAAAAATCTTGGAAACCAAACACCAAAATTTTTGGTGTGTAAGAAACCTTAAGCTGGAAAGTCAAAGATTCATCATTTACAAAATGCAAAATTCAGAGCTCCTATAAAAATGTAATTAAGACCTATGGGCATTTGTATGATAGTTCTAGTGACATTAATTCAAACTTTTGTTATCAGTTGGTTGTCTAAGCTTGCAGAATTACACATTCATCCTGTGAAAGGGATGAAGCAGGCTGCGAAACACTTTATATGTATCTTTTCTGCAACATATAGTAGAAAATATGTACTGGTCCTGGAGTGGATGGAGAAGGAAGAAAATGGGTTATTTTTTTTAGTTTCATCAGCTAAGGCCTGTGGTGCAGATGTGGTATCTATTCCTTCATCCTCATGAATTGTCTAGTAAGTAATTTTCTTATAGCTTAAATCAATGTGCCAGCTTTTCTGTTGAGCACCATGATGCATGCCATTATTTGTTTGTAAAATTCTGTAAAAAGCAGTGCAGTTTCCAGTCGGTGAGAGTCATGCTCCCAACAACAACTATAAAGTGCTAATATCTCTGGCATTTAAAACCATCAGTGTCTCAAACAAGGCATATGAAATTTCTAGGTGCTAATAGATGATCGTGTTTCATCCCCTGGACTTGTCCAGCCCTGCCATCCAGATGGTGGCCATCTGGGTCTTTGCCTTCCTCCTGTACTGCCCAGCCATCCTGTTTTGGGAGCACCTGGCCGGACACAGCGTGGTAGCAGCGGATCAGTGCTACGCCGAGTTCTTCGACAACTGGTACTTCCTCCTGTGTGCATCCACCCTGGAGTTCTTTGTGCCGCTGCTCTTGGTGAGCTACTTCAACATGCACATCTTCCACAACATCCAGAGGCGCCAGCGGCGTGGCAGCGTGCAGGGCTGTGAGCCTGCAAGGAGCAGCAGCCTGTCCTGCGGCGTGGCAGCGTGCAGGGCTGTGAGCCTGCAAGGAGCAGCAGCCTGTCCTGGAGGTTTTGTGGCTTGCCAAGGCCAGGGGCATCATCTCCTTCGTCAGAAGCAGAGGACAGTGTTTCTTCTTCCATGAGACCAAAGAAAGAGTCTTTGGGAACAGACTGCTCATCTCCATCCATACACAATTCTGTAACCCCAGAAAATGACTTCTCTGTTTCTTTCTGTACAACAACCAGATCAAAACTGCAGCGGGACAAGAAAGCAGCAAAGTCTCTTGCCATAATTGTCTGTGTGTTTGCCATTTGCTGGGCCCCATACTCTTTATTAATGATTATTCGTGGGGCCTGCCATACTCTTTATTAATGATTATTCGTGGGGCCTGCCAGGGAACTTGTGTCCATAACTTCCTGTATGAAGCAACCTTTTGGCTTTTGTGGATCAATTCTTCTTTGAACCCATTTCTTTACCCTCTCTGTCATGTTAAATTTAGAATGGCTTTTCTGAAGATATTATGTCCCAAAAAGTTTGCAACATTGAGATCAGGTTCTTTTTAGAAGAAAAAAGAAAAACAAGGTAATGAGGAGCTGCATGAGGAATGTAAGTAGCCACTGTTTGAAAATAGATTTAGTATTTTCCAGGAGATTAAACTAGTTGGGAAATCTAAATGTGCCTTCTGTGAAATGTCCTCCTGTAGACTAATGTGCATGACCAAGGTTTGTGTACTTTTCCCAGCTATTTTAATAAACCAGTTAAAGTCTATTGCCTCTGTCTGACTTTACCTAGTAGTCTATCCACATTATTTCAATTCCAATTGCTAAAAATGTTGTCTTCAACATCAGTACTGCTTATATTTGTGTTCACAGGTGATATTAGTTAAAAATTGTTAAAATAAAGTTGTAGATTACCCATAGGGTCAGTAGAATTCTAAACTTGCTATCTGTTCTATTTCTTTTGAATAATTTGCATTCAGAACCTCATTTTTGCCTATATGAAACATCCAATGAAGTTATGATTTCTGTTGTCAGTCACATAGCAGGATTACTTCCTTTCACTAAAGGAAGCAAATAGGAGCTATTTTCAAAAACTTGAATGTATGCTTGCATTGATACTATGGTTTGGATTGGAAGGGACCTTTAAGATCATCTGTACCTGGGCAGGAACACCTTCCACTAGACCAGGTTGCTTAAATCGCTATCCAACCTGGCCTTGAACACTTCCAGGGATGGGGCATCCACAGCTTCTCCAGACAACCCGTGTCAGTGGCGCACCACCCTTGAATTTCTTCCTAATATCTAATCTAAACTTGCCCTCTTTCAGTTTAAAGTCATTGCCTCTTGTCCTATCGCAACATGCCCTTATAAAAAGACCCTCTCTAGCTCTCTTGTAGCCCCCTTTAGGTACTGGAAGGCTGTTTCAAGGTCCCTCTGGAGCTAGCTTGTTCTCCAAGGTGAACAACCCCAATCAGCCAATTGACTCAGCCAATCCTCATAGGAAAGGTATTCCAGTCCTCTGATCATCTTTGTATCCTTCCTCTGGATCTGCTTCAACATATCCTTCTCGTACTAGGGACCCCAGAGCGGGATGCTGAACTCCAGGTGGGGTCTCACAAGATCTCTGTACGTTGTACCCCTTACCTTTCATCCAGGCTGTGGGAACACTTGGAATTGTCAAGGGAAAGGTTGAGATCAAGAGGAGTCTTGTGGACAGTGAGTGCTTGTGGAAGCTGCACAAATAAGCTGCTTTACTGACCTAAGTAACGCTTTCATGCCGATGGCATGAAATTGTTCCTATGCCTGCTCTGAACCCATGGCCAGTGCAGGTCCTGCAAGCCATGGCTTGGGATCCATGCTGATGAAAGGCATCAGTAAGGCTGATGGTTAGAGGAAAAATCTGATAGGGCTGTCAGATGCAGATTTTACTTCTCCCTGGAACTGATAGAACCATAAAACAAACCAAAATTCAGATGTGCACTCAAGACCAAAATCTAAAAGACAGTGCCATGCTTTTTAGGAGGATTTTGTCTGGACCTTGGAGAGGTGGTTTTTAGTTTCATTAGTCAACACTTTAGTCCTGCATGAAAAAAATCTTCTTTGGGCTCTAACAAAAACTCATGCAGGACCTGTTGCTGAGAAAGCTTAGTCAGGAACAATTAAGTCTTACTCTATTTGTATGAGGGCCTTATGGGCACACAGCAGGACTTAATTGCCATGGCTTGACCTCCCCTGGACCTTCACTCCTTACTCCAGCCTTGGGCCTAAGAGCATCATTAAACTGAGGTGGTTCTCTCCTGAGATACACGAGTGCTTGTAGGCTGCTCTGAGCACTGTCTTCTGCATTTTTTTGAGGCTTTAATTGGACTTCTGAGATTGGCCTTGGACCCAGCTTGTCACCTCATGTTTTGTCATGTTCTGCCCCAGCCATACCTGGGGAACTGAAGTCATCCACAGCAGCATGGTCTGTGATATCAGTCATCTCTCAGAAAGAAATCACACCTGTGGGTCAAATCCAAACTGCTCAAGGACTCCCCAGCAGGTTGTCAGTTCTGCCTGAAAAGGATATTTTGCTTTCTTCCCCACAAAGAATTCCAGGTCCCACTCTTGGTTTTTTTTGGGGTTTTTTTTTGTTGTTTTGTTTTTTTTTTTTTAATTTTTTTTACTGGTGCTTTTCAAATACTTTATCATTGTATCACTCTCCCCTTCACTTGTATCCTTCAATGCTGCATTCTTTCTCCTTGCAGACTCACCACATTTCTTGCATTCCTGTATTACCAGGTTTCCCATTTTACAATAGATAGTTCATGTTCCTCCACACTGTTGTAGTGTCTATAGATTTGCTGTGACACATATTTCTCTGTGCCTTGCTCAACAGTTCCCCAGTCATATTGGTACAGCTTTTTCACAGAAATAATAAAAGACATTTTAAGCCAAGAAACACAAAATTGAATCCAGAGCAGAAAAATCCATTTATTTTTTTTTTTAATTTGGCTTTGTTTTCTACTTGCATGCATTTATTTTAAATACAATATTCTTGCAGCAGTGTTAATGAAGTGCATTAGAAACTAGCTTTCCTAGTGAAAATAGGGCATAGTGGCATAAAGTGGAGTGGCTGGATTTTTGTGTGGTGAAAGTGGAACAGCATCATGTAATGAGAGAAGAAGAAGGTGAAATTCAACTTTTTTACTGTGCAAATGGGGAAGTGGAAAAAACCAGACTGTTTTGTATATCACTGGTGATCATTAGGTATTTTTCCTCTCATGACTTTTCCCCTCTAGCTCTTTTTTTTCCTGATCTGGCTACTATACTTCAAGCTGGATCATACTTTCTTGCCTTTAAATGCTGGCTCTGATCTTCAGTTCTCTGATCTTCACTTCTGTGTATACTTGTTAATTTACTTTCTCTCCTTGCTAAACAACCCTGCCTAAAACTTTTATCTGAAATATGCTAGGGTAGGCTTAAATATGCCTGGAAGGTGGGCACTGTGGGTACATCTGCTGGCTTTCCTTACAATAGCTTCTGACAGAAGCCTCTTTTTGGCATCTTTTTCCTTTTGCTGTTCCAACCAGCATGTTCCTGCAGATGTCACTGGTGCTACACGGTATTTTTAAACCTTGCAAATCCGTGGGTTTTTCAAAAGGTGCTATTTATGTGTACAGTCCTACTTGATATGACACCAGCACCTTTCTGCTAAAACTGCCACCAGATCTGCTGTATTACATCTAATATTTACTGTGCTGCAGAAAAGATTAGAGGAATGGCTTATTACCTTGGCAAAGAAAGGAAGACTTTAGTCACACAGATAATCATAAGTTAGCACAGAACTTCTTTCTAAGTTGCTCTGCATAGAAATCATCCTGTGCTCAGAATTTAAAGCAGGGCCTTATGTCCCCCATGGAAAAGGATAGAGTCACAGTGAGCTGAGAGCAGGTCCTCAGTGTTGGCTTGTCAGAAAAAAGTCTCCTATCTTCTGACATAGAAGGGTTTTTTTCTCATTAAGCTTTTTAAGCTATTCTGCTTGTGGGCTGCTTCTCAACAAGTCCATCTCTCATACCCTTTTTGCTGCCCTTTGTCAGCACCTTACTTTTGGGTTATCTTCAACTGCCAATGAAGCTGCAGCTTTGGATATGAGTACTTGGTTATGTTTCTCAGACATTTCCTATGGATCAGAGCTTTAGCTTTGCTAAAGTCATTGGGGATTTATCAAGACAGCCAAGCTGTGCCAAACAAGAACAGAGTAGGCCTTTGCCTGATCTGTACAGCGGAGAACTTCAAGGGGATCAGCTCAGCAGAGGTTTTGAGGATGGAGAACATCCTCAGTAAGACAGATCTTGGTTCTAATGCTTTCCCTGGCATTCTAAAGACCTGAGCAACTTGACCTCTGTCTTGAACCATTTGTACGTGGGAAACTGTTTGTAAGTGTAAGAATTTGTGGACTTTCCTGCTGGGACATTTACATTCAGCTGGTTCTGCTGTTTTTGACAAATGACTGCAAGTAGAGTCAATCCTCACGTATATACAAAGACAGGATGTCAGTGCAAACGCCCTCTTTACAGGACACGAGCCAAATTAGTTTCTGGAATAAAGCCAAGGAAGTTAATGGGTATAGCCTCTGAAGTCGATGGGGTTTTATTATTTATATTCTATTTCTGTAATAATTTCTGGTGTACACAGATCAATCAGTTTTCAGTTTGTTCCACTAATGGCATCTCAGGTTAACTCACCACCTGACTTTTGTGGTATAATACACTGTTTCTTTCTGTTCTCTGATGCTGGGTTGTTCACACTACTTAATGTCACAATATAATTTTTTCATTATTATACATCAGATATAATGAGAGCAAATTGCACTGGCCTCTGACTCACCTCCTCTTACAGCCTTGCACCTGACGCTGTATCCCTCCTCTTTACCATGCTGGAGGTATTGGAATTAGAGTGCTTTGAGAACCTGCATGTAAATGCTTGTAAGCTTTTTTCTTGATAAGAAATAGCAGTATTATATTTTTTCCATCTAGCATTCAGATTTATGTCTTCTTTGCTACTTGAATCTGGGTGTTTAAGAGACTGAAGAAAGAAGAGCATAAGCCAAAACTGTAGCAAAGTGGTGGTTTTATATCTTCCTGAGATTCTTCCCATGTCCAGAGCTTAGACCCTGACCCTTGTGCAAGTTATTTCTTGTGAAGTCAGAGATTTGCTGCTCCTTGGTAATGTGGGCACAGGTAGGAAATTTTGAACCAAACGGGGGATGTGAGGAGGAATGGTTGCCTACTAAAACAGCAAACAGACAAAATACACCTCTGGTTTTGGTAAAGACCTCGAGCCATATTTGAGTGTCTCATCTCACATACTTTCTTAGATGTTAGAAAGGATCTGAGTGAATCAGTTACCATAGAGAGATGTAGCAGATTTCTTTGGATGTATTTTTCACTAGAAAGGGAACTAGCAGAGGGACAGGTGCAATTCAGTGCTATGCTATATCCAGTCCTGGGCTGGAAAAGCTCTGAGAGTTTAAATAGAGTATTTCCTTTTTTTTCTTTTCCCCACCAAATATTCTAGAGCCTTTAAAAACAGAGATGCTAATAACATTGGTGTAGTTTAGGTGTAGTTTATTAGATTGCCCATTTAAAAAATGGGCTT